TCGACTGAAGTAGCTATCAATACGTAAAGGGTGTTTAATTAAGAATAAGGAAATATTTTAAGATGTATACTTAAACACACGGAAAAAAAGCGAAACACATAACCCATGTGTGTTGTTTTTATTTTTGAAAACATCATATACATATATATTTATGCAATAATATTACATAACAATGGATATACATATTGTCTAGAATATATGTCTACTTCAAATGAGCGAATATATGAAACTTTTACATCACTCTTATGAATATGAAGTATATGTTCTGGAAGATATTTAGGATTTGATCCGATAGTTTCATATTATGTTTACGGCAACTCTGTCTAGAAAAAAATACTTTCAGTCCCCAATAGAACGATATTATTGCATTCGACTTTTGTAATGAATTTGTAGTAAATTGTATCAACACATATCTTTTCATAGAAATAGCAAAGCCAAATGTCGTCATGGGTAATACTATAAGCTGCTTTTAACCTAAATAACATCAAATTTACGTAATAATGAGGCTGGAATTTTTAATGTTACTTAATGTCATAATCCATGTAATGTATACATGCACCATAGGTATCACATAGACACTTTACACGTGCGCTGTAAAATAATTAGGTAGAGCAAAATTTGATTTCTAAAGGGACTGAATCAAATATACAAACAATACGAAAATTCAATGATCTGTTAAGATATGTTGTTTTATATCAACGTGCACCATTCTCCGTATCGGCAATTAGCAACTGTTATTCTTTTAACTTAGATTTTTTGATGTGACTATAATCAAGATTTACATAAGTGTTGTACAGCTAACAGATTTTATGGTACTTATAAACATGCGTATAGATATGAGTAACAATGGTGTGAAAGTTTTTCCTTAACGTGTTCGATGAATTAAAATACTTGCATATATTTAAAATTGTAATGTTACTTATACCTTTGCTTAACACCAGTATCTTCTGGTTCTTGTATCCGTATATTCCTTTTATGATGCTTTATTTGACTTTAGATATACACGTATAAGTATATTCAGGTATAAAAACAAACAAATCTAATATTTACTAACATTTCTGTTTGTTTTTTTTGTTTGTTTGTTTTTTTTGTTTCTTTTTGTGTGTTTTTTTCCCAATCTTATTAACAGAAAAAGGTCGATTTTAATGTCGCAATACCTCTTTTTAGTCAGAATCACTTTTTTACCTATGTTTAAATTGCGATGAAATATAATTTGAAATTTCTTCTTGTTTGAAATTTTGATATTTCTAAACACAGCACAGAAAAATGTCCTCCTTCTTCACGATAACGCCCCCTCCCATACCGCCGCAGCTACAGTGGAGGTTATCAAATCTTACAAATGGCAATTGTTGTCGCCCAGACCTCGCCCCCTGTGACTTTTATTTGTTTCCAGAACTAAAAAAAATTCTTGCTGGAAAGAAATATAAGACCAGGGCGGCTTTGATAACTGCTGTTACACAGTACCTAAAACATAGGTCTACGTCATGGTTCACAACGGGAATACAAAAGCTCCCACGAAGATGGTAAAAGTGCGTAGACGTAGGTGGGGAATATTTTGAAAAAGAGTAGAAAGAATTTTTTTAAAATGTTGAATGGTTTTATAGAACGAGTCAAAAGTCCGGATATTTTCTGACTTCCCCTCGTATACATTATTTTCAGTCAGTGCAAAAGACAGTTCAGACATAAATTGACGACAACAAAAATATGGCGGACGACCACGTGCTTTATATTGTACACCAAAATTATTTTAAGTGTTTGAAAAACGAAGACAATTTGTTAATGATTTATATATTGTATCTAAATCTTTGATATTTCATATACAAATTATATAAAAGTCAGCACATTTCACAGAAAATACAGTGACTATGCTAACTTGAGTAAAAATAAAAAACATGAAAGCAGTGATTATTTTCAAAGGCTTGAAGGTCAAATAAGAGACATACTGTGTTGTCATGTGCGTGCGCGTGCGTATGTGTGTTTAGATTTATATACTAAGACGTCATTTTAAAATGACATTGCGTAAACAATACAGGATTATATTTCGGCGGGTAAACAGATGAGAAACCATACGAGAGGCCAGACACGTGGTACAAGTCAAAATTTAGAAAAGAAAATCTGGAAACAAAGTGATCCCTCGGAAGCATTAAAAAATTAATTTTAAATCCACGACAAATATAAGACTTCATGTTTGTGCTTGTTTGATTGATTGTACGCCGATTTTAACATGTTTGTCATATTTCGGCGGTACGTCCATCTCATAATAAGTCTTACTGGGTTTCTGATAACAATTATTATCCACTTTCTCCACAAGTGACCGGCTTCTAATCACACATTAGTTCTGAATCAACCTAGATTCAATAATATCTACTCTCTAAAACAAAAGGCCGTAGATTGGAGAAAATGCCAGAGTGATAAAGTATAAATAGTGCCTGATATGATTGATTGATTTACTGATATAAGAACACATTGTTTGCTCTTTTCAAACCAAGTTATTAGTAAAGTAAAGCAAAGCTTTGAATTGACCGATAATTTGTTAGACACGTGGTTTAAAACATAAATTGAGTTTCCATAAGATGGCAGGAATATAATAAAACGAACATATGCATTCTTTCTTCACCTATTCTCGTGTACATACAATATTGTGTCACGTTTTGCTATTGTTAGGTGTAATATATGCTATGCTTGAAATATAATGAATTATTGGAAAATCTTTTATAAGCCTTACGGGATATATGGTAATAGCCGACCAATCAAAAACAACGTTTCCTTAAACAAATAATTATGACTGTGCAAAACACAGCTTAAAGACAGCGGTGTTTTTTATGTCAAAAATACAACTTTGTCAAAAATACAACTATATTAAAAATATCAGGGGCGTAACTAGGCGTACTCCTGTACGCCCGTGCGTACAAATCAATCCTGTATTCCGAAAAATCACATGCGCTAAAAGTTCTAAAAATGTGATAAAAACAGGTCGGGGCAAAATATATTCATATAGTGCCTACTGACTCTTTCGACTTTATCATTATATAAAAAATTCATAAGTTAACGTATACAGTATTTATTTATATCTTTTAAAATGATCTATATTGCGATATCGTATACAGATTCCGCAAAAAATCTTAAGGTGCCTGGTTCAGCACAGATTCTTGGCCAAGATATTCCCCGAATATTGGCGGCATATGTTTTTTTTTAGTTCTGGAAACAAATAAAAGTCACAGGGGGCGAGGTCTGGGCTATAAGGAGGGTGAGACAACAATTGTCATTTGTAAGAGTTGATAACCTCCACTGTAGCTGCGGCGGTATGGGAGGGGGCGCTATCGTGAAGAAGGAGGACATTTTTCTGTGCTAACCTAGGACGCATTTGCTTCAGCTTTTCTCTGAGATTTTTCAGAATTACTTCAGAATAGTACTTGGCGGTGACAGTTTGACCTTTTGGCATGAAATGAGTAAGTATCATTCCTCATGAATCCCAAAAGGCAACAAGCATGACTTTGCCAGCCGAATGAGACAGCTTAAACTTTTTAGGAGGTGGGGAACCAGCTCGTTTCCACTGCTTTGACTGAGCTTTTGTCTCAGGTTCGGAATAATGAACCTACATCTCATCTCAAAAACTTATCTTCTTCACGATTAAAACGACTTAAATGTTCTTTTGCATTGGTTGCTCTGGTTGCCTTTTGATCTGCGGACAGCTGTCTAGGCACCCACCTGGCACTTACCTTGCTAATGCCTAGGTGTTCGTGTGAAATCTTGTGTGCCGATGCCTTACCGATACTAAACTTGTTGGCTACCTCCTCCAAAGTTACTCGACGATTTTTGTTGACAAAAGCTTTAACATTTGCTACCATTGTTGGGATCACCGCTCAGCTGGCCGCCCAGTCCTAGGCCTGTCACAAACACTTGTTCTGCCTTCACGAAACTGAGAAACCCAGTTGTAAAAGGTTGAACGTGATACACATTTATCAGAAAATCTTTTTTTAAGCCTCTTAAAGATGTGGCAGGGATTTTCACCTTTTGCAACCAGAATCTTTATTACAGAGCGTTGTTCCTCTAACAAAGAGTCCATGATAGACGAAACAGCTATCATATATCAGAGGACAAAATACTGTGCATACACAACTATCATTGAAAATAAACTGACCACGTTATTGGCGAATGAATGTAGTTTTCACCAATATATAATGTGTGTATATAGCCACACGTGGAAAGAGAGGAGCATGAAAAGTCAGGATATTTTCTGACCGTCCCTCGTATTATTTATTATGTAAAAACTTTAATCGTAATTAGACGATGTGCAAAACACAGGTTCGGGCTTTATCAGAAAAAAGTAAAAAGTCAGACCAAGTCATTTAAAATCCCTTTTATGAGTAATAAGTAGACAGTTACACATAAATAAACGATTTTACTGCTCAAAGGAGGGACTGTTTTCACTCTGTCATTTATAAGAGGTGCATAACAACTCTCCCTACTTAAACGGGAATTAACCTTTTTTTACAAAATGTGTACAGTTTTTATTGTAATAAGCATAAATCTTAAGGCATGCTGCTTTACAGCAATTTACATTTACGCGAAACGAGTCCAAATCACAAATCACGGACTGACTTATTTCTTACTTCAACAATTTTATAGACAGTTGTCCACGGTTGATTGCTCTTGATTGTGTATACATGCCACTCCCGTATATTTCCAGGAATTAATAATCAGATAAGTCTTAAAATAAATGAGGCTTTATGGGGTACGATATGCATTTGATATGAATTTTTGGACTCTGGAAATAAAAAGGAAGGTTCATTGATTGGAATAACCAATGATAACTCTTATAACGTTACGTCACGTGGTTCAAACGCTGGATGAAGGTTCATTGGTTATCGTTTTTAAGGAATGAAATAAAAGTTATCTTTATTTAAATGTTGATACATTATTTTATCCATACGCAGTTGATGATTTCAACCCTTATATAAAACGACTGGTAACATTTTCAAGCAAAACATAACAAAGGCAGTTTGCGTACAATATTTAATACACTAAAATGACTACATAGATTCTTAGCAATATACATGATATAACTACAGTTTGTTTTGTATATATATTCTTAAAGATATACTATGCTAAAATTTGATATCAGAAAATATAGATAACTGCTCTTTGTAAATATGAAATAAACATGTTTTGACTTCACACAAAATAAATATGTCATGTTTAAAACTCTACACACATAGATCGTCACAATATGAATATATAGTGTCGTTAAAAAAACTGGCAGTTTTTTTAAGAAAAGACTAATTTTACTTATCGTATATTAGAGAACGTGGCTTCCAAAATAGTTTATTATTCATCTTTTAGTTAAATTAGACATATTCAGTAAGAATTTCATAGGTTTTAATAAATTTCTCCGATTAAAATATTTTACTCAAAGATGAGCATAGTATATCTTTAACTTAGTTCATGTAAGCATTGTAACCTGAAAACTCTTGATGGCATTTTTTATCGCATCAATTCTGTATTGTATAGATATATGTATATATGAAATTAATTTTACAGTCAGATTTCCTGTTGGATATTTATTGTTGATACCAATGCAAATTTTCCAATTTGATCATTTGAAGAGACGTTTAAAGGCCCATAGACCTTCGAAATGCTATGATTTTTATTTCTGAAAAAACTATTTATTTTAGGATATTTGTTTTACATTTTCAAAATATTTACTAAATGGCTATATAGAAGAACAATCTTTTGATTCCATTTCTCATTGGCAATGTGTACAATTAAAGTGAATATTTGAGTTTTTTTTAATGGAAGTCATAATACTACTTTGGTCACATTTTACTATATTTCCGGCATATAATTTTGTACGTTTATCACCGACATTAAAAGGCTTTTTGTGAAATAAAAATAAAAGCATTTCTAAGGCATAATGGGCCTTAAACGAATGTCCATAACAAACAATTTCCACATACAAAGGAAAAACAACAGTAAAAGCGTTTTATCTACAAACATCAAAATATGATTTGACACTGAATAAAATATTAATTATATCTTGACAATAGCTTAAATGTAAATAGATAAAGATGCTGATAATAAAAAAAATCACTACATGTATATTAGAAATAAGCAATATATGTTACTAAAAATCTGCATTTTGTGTGTACCACACATAATCCTTTTCACATAAATTTCCAAGTTTCCAAATTATCTGATATTTTCCTCTATTAAGCTCTTTCTTTGTCAGCTATCGAATTCTCCTCATTGAATGATAAACAACATTGATACTGTGATGACAACATTTTACATAATTAGTTTAACAATATTGATAAAATAACAAATATCAATAAAATAACAAATGATTGAAATTTTACAACATCAGTCTCACAGTTATTGGAAAAACACCGATTTAAAATTGACATTATCGACAAATTAAAAACATTTAATGAATATATTGTTTTAACAGCGGTAACGTATCCCATGTTCAACATTATTGATTTTAATACTAAAAGTCCGCATTTTGTTTTTTATTTTTTTTTGTACCACACGTAATCTTTTTTACATTTCACGAAAAAAGTTTCCAAATTATCGGATATTTTTCTCTATAGAGCTCTTTCTTTGTCAGCTATCGAATTCTCCTCTTTGAACTTACTAACTAACTTGCACTGGTTTTACAAGGGGTACATTGATATCAAACGAGTAGGACTCGAACCAATGTTGCCAGGATTTTAATCTTTACCACAATAACTACCACCCCTCCTCTCTGACAAAAAATTCATATACAACAACAGATACAACACTAATAAGAACATGTAAGACACTGCTTTTTGCAACAATTGCACCGTCTCGGCTCTTTCCGTCAAACTTCGGAAAATAACCTCGAACACAATAGTAAGAGTACACAGTACTATCACAATAAACAACATTGATACTATGATGACAACATTTTACATAATAAGGTTAATAATATTAATAAAATAACAAATATTAATAAAATAACAAATGATGGAATTTTTACAACATCAATCACTCAGTTATTGGAAAACACTGATTAAAAATTGACAACGTCATCGACAAAATAAAAACATTTAATGAATATATCTTTTAACAGCGGTTACGTATCCCATGGTTAACATTGATTTTTATACGATTTTATGAATATTGAATAAGTAAAAATACCATTAAAATTGACAAAATAGCAACCACAATAGCTAACAAACGTATTTAATTCAAAAACATGAAAACAACAATGATTTGACACAATCGCAACTTCTCTGCCCTTTCCGTCAAACTTCGGATAAGAACACGATCGAACACAATAGTAAGAATGCAAAGGACGGATAAGGTATGTTGGTCTAAACTACGCTAAGTAAGTAGGAATTAGGAATGCCAAAAGTTATTGACTTAGTTTTTCCCAAAATAAATCGAGTAAAAATCCACATAAATTAAGTAAATTCATAGACATAAAAGTAAGCAGTACATTTTTCATATACTTATTATGATGGTTGTAGAAACCTGTTGACATAAATTTGGGTTTGATTTTCAGTTGGCATTTTTTAATTGATTATAATTGAAAGACATATTTTAAATCATTATTTTACCTAAATATTCTTCTATATATTCCTTTGGATGTTAGATACAAAAATTTGTCACATTTTAGCAAAGATTGCGCCCTCTGTCTTTATTACATCTTAAACCACGTTGAAGAACTACATTTGTGTAATTTCAATCCGTATTAAGTCCGAGATTATTTTAGATAAAGGCCGAGTTGTTCCGATTGTAATTTGACACAGTATGATATTTTTATGACATAATGACGGTACAATGAACGTTTATGTTCAAAGATATCTAAAACAAAAACAGTACGTCACTTGAAATTCAAAATATATATACACCGAAATAAAAAGTCAAGTAATTTCAATTTCCTATTCACGCCATCCAGTACGAATGAAATGTCTCTACTGTCGACAGTGTAGAAGCAGTATGGTGCTCCAACACTTATTTTTGTCTCACTCATATATATAACTGAGTACATATGCCTCGTAACAGAGACAACTTCCTTCCATTGAATACCAGTCTTTACTTTAAACCCTTTTCACATTTTAAGATTAGCTTTCGCAGAATGTTACCAAATTGGCGGATATTTTCCTGTAGAGCTCTTTCATCAGTAGCTAACAACGCTTTGGCATCGATTACAACAATTGGTTTGGTAACCTATTGACAAAATGTAAAATTTAACTAATTAAGGCTGACGAAGCTGTGCATTAAAGTAAAAACTGTTAAAAGAAAACGGGAGGAAGACCAGTCAATGGCACTATTATTTCTCTTCCTTATAAGCATATTTGCGGAATAATTAACAATCTTCAACAAAAACATATATGAACAGCTTCACAAAAAACATTGAGGGTTTCTGCGTAAAAGATTGAAAATATCATCATTTTGACGTATATAAGATAAACTCCAAGAGATGTTTTAATATCATTAATGACTTTTCTTTTTTAATTTCTGAACATTTCAACAATTTGACTTTACACCAAGCAAGAACGATTTAAACAATTCATGTAAACATGTAGGAACTAAATGTGTTGCCATTATAAAGCCTATTAATCACGCATTTATCATTTACAATGCTTAAATGAGTTTTATTGTATACAATTTTATAAGCTAATGAGTGTTGTATACAATATCAATGGTTTCCCCGGGGTTGTGCGATTGAATGACTTTTTCTTCAATCATACGGAACTCAATATTTATTCACAAATAACTTAAAACTAAAAGTCTGGTATAATTGTATTATACAATATATCACCTTACGAAACATAAACCTATATTCTTGTCCTCTTTGTTTTATCATCATTATTATTGTTTGTTTTTAGTCAATACCTAATCACAGTCACCTATTTCTTTTATATGTTTGGATATTTGATTTGCTCATGTTTTTGTTAATCATGAAATGTGTGCTATTGTAAAAAAAATGAAATTGAAATGTTGTTTATAAAATTGTGTAAGTACCTTTGTTTTACACACTGTAATGTAAATGTTTTCCTCACATATCTGATCTATAGCAATAAAGCCCACATGCAATAGACGTAGATAATCGGCAAGTTGTTTGCACACAGCCACAACAATATTGACTGACAAGCAACTGTCGTCATCAAGAATTTCTCGAATACTACGTTTCGTCCCAACTGGTACAAGTTCACTTGTCATCCGCACAGATCTGCTAAATTGCTGGTATTCCAAAATGGCGGTACCAATTTCTAAAAAAAAGTAAACGTTCAATTGAACTATACATTATTGTAATTTGTTTATCCCGGACACTGCTGTAATTATATTATGTATACAATCATTATATTTTAACAGGCTATCTGCATTTGAAACAATTCGAACAAAAGTCTATGTGATGCTTCGTATATCAGATTTACATCGCTAACTTGAAAGATACTATTTAAGATACTCTACTAAGGTTGTTTGACATTACGGGATTGGAAATAATTGTTCGAAATTAATGTTCCATTTGATGCAGGTCGAGAACATTATCTTGTGCACGGAATTTCAGATCGTTCACATACTCCATTGTTTTTAGAATATTTTTTTTGTGCACAAACAAATCAACATTTTGGAAAGCGATGCAACGAATTTCGCTCAAATCGGTTTTTAAATAGCACACAAACTGATTTTCAAATTTATCTGAAAATATTTCTCAATTATCTTTTGTGTATCTTTCTTTTTAAAGTACCCCTGCTGAATTATGTAGGACATTGAATTTTTATCTTTTAGGCTTTACAAACTCAGAGGAGTTGCTTTAAACGTCGTGATTATAAATATCTGGATAAGCATTGCCCGTTTCTACGAAATGTTAGTCAACGACTTATTAAGTTAGACGCTTATAAGAAAATATGTAACGTCACAAACAGTTACATTTCTACATCTTTTGTCTCTCCTTTTCATCTGTCAAGACCGTTAATTTTTCTTATTGTCTTGATATTACACAGCATGTTTATAAACTTTTAAAATATTCTTCCCCCCAAAAAGCAAATAAAGAATTATAGAACTGAATCTGATTACAGCTAAGTATTTACCTTTCTGGACCGCTGTTCGACTCTGCTCATCAAGGCTTGGATTAAAACTCTAAAATACAAAGTAAAACACTGATTTCAAATAAAACGATTGCTCAACTGCAAAAATATAACATCTGAATTGTCCGTATTAAAGGCACTACTATCACTTATTTAATATTTAAAACTTGAAGACTGGTATAATGAATTCGTTAATCATTAAATTATAGTAAATAACAGGTATAATTAGTTACAAATTTAACAAATTCATTCGACAAAGGTATTATAGCACTACATGTATTTACTTTCGACATTTTAATTTCATGTGTTGAAGCAACACACAAAATACCGTATTCCGGTATATACCGTACAACACGCTTGAACGATAAAAACTCGCCTTTTCAGCACCACCGAAAACCAGTATAAGATGTTTACAATTCATCTTTTGACATCGATTGATATACGAAAATGAATGAAAAATGTAGAAATAGGCGAAAAAAGCGATATTCTGCTACATTCTGATCATGATTTCAACAGGCGTCTAGAGGTTTTGCTCCAACAATGTAGTAAGTTAAATGTTTTTTGTAATACTAATACTTTATAACCACTTTAGATATATTGTATGATCACAGTTGATAACTGTAAGAATCCCTGTCTACAATTATGCAATCCTCTTACCTAATTAAACATGCAACTATTTGGATTCATTTGGCACTTTTGCGTTGAGCTAGTTATCTCACTGTATCTTTTTGTACCATAAACACATACCCGTGCCGTTTTTTGCGCCCCGCAAAGACAGTATTGCACGGACGTGTATATATTTTGACGTGACACCATTTGCATTACATAAACATAGCGTGAAACGCGCAAAATATTAGCGTTACACTTCAGGCGCGTCAATGAAAAGTTAACCCTTTTCACTTTAATAGTCTTTAATGTTGGTACGTGATAGATTGAATATATAATTCGTGCAGGTTCATTACTGAAATTATTGACTCGTTTATTAAAACAATATTATGCTTGCCAGATGCTCTTCTATTTCTAATTACACAAATGGTACTGTGTTTCAAACAAAACCCCGCCCCCAATTTTTAATTCATTCGAGTGGCATAATAAATTAACTATATCATGAATAAAAATATTTTGAAAATCTTACACCAGCTTTCTGTAAGACGAAATATCATGTTCGAGGGTTCCTATTTACGCGGTAACGAGGCCCTTTAGGTTTCCGCAAAACAGTTACATGTACTCGAGATCAATATATTCCCATCTATTACGACAATCGTTGTTTGATTCTTTTTCTTGCATATTTCATATAAATCATTTCTTGAAAGAAATAACAAAGGCTTATATTTTAATTTATCTTTTGTTCTTATAGTAGCGTATGAACGTTAGTCAAACGGCAAAATGACGTCATCCTAAGAACGCAATTCATTTATAATATGAGGCGCGCGGAGTACGCAATTTAAAACACGCGGCATGTCTTACACGGGTGGGAGAGGGTGAAAGAATTTGTTTCTTGCAACCATGTAAACAGTTGATAATCCTTTCTGATATTCCAAAATATAATTAAGTGACATTTGTATAATTTTATCTTCAGGAACGCGAACCAATGATTTACCTTTTTCCCGATTATTGCTGTCACTGTATACAAAAACGGGTTTAGAGCAGAGTTAATTGGTAAAATGAAAACAGCTGACCATGCATAAACATCACTAGAAATCGGAAATCCGTTCAAGGCCAAAATACCTGAAAAAGGAATAGCTGTACTTTTGACATTGTTGTATTAGATTAAATGCACAAATACAGAACGTTTTATAGAAATCAAATCATATACAATGTACATGTAAAAAATTTTAAACAAAAAAGAATACTTCTATACTAAAATTTGAACAATGAAATCCTTAAAATTGAAAAGAAAAATAATGCTTTTACACCCATACATATATCGTGCAATATCGTTGGAAGTAGACTTGCGTTATTCGGTTTAATTGATAAATCGTGATGCAGACAATACAAACACATATATCATATGTGTATGAGATCTTACCCATCACACCTATCGGAAACCAACACAGGAAATCAGTTGTTGCAACGAGTATAAGATTTCTTGCAACTTTCAAGTCACGTCTTCTTGATATTTGTGTCTTCTTCATAGCTGATGTTGATCGTCGAAGTTCTGTGAATATTGAGATTTGTCCTGCAGCAACAAGAATGAAAGTACAAAAATTCAGGCCGACAAAGATTGACACAGAATAAATCCACCCTGGAGGTTTATCTCGTGTTAAAGGCAATGCAATACAAACTCCTGTTCTAGAGTAGAATTTGTTTTGGAAGTGACTTGTGTAAAGAATTGGAATGACCGATAGGATGATGGAAATGAACCAGCACAATGTACAAGAGACATAGGCCTTCATAGGTCCAAACCTCACTCTGCCAAATGGAAACTTGATCACTAAAAGTCTATCTAATGTTATCAAGCAAAGAAAGAGGACGCTGGCTTCAGATGAAATTGTAGACAAAACTCCGGCAGTAATACACCAATTACTGTTTCTCCATTGATCGTCCACAAAAATATATCTGCAAATAAATGGGAACAAAAGATATGAATTTCAGAAGTAAAAAACGCATTTTAATTATGTAACAAAAAACATCATCTATTAGATTTATTAACTGATTTTATTCGCATACCATTACATCTTTTTTAAACATGTTTTATTAAGGAAAAAAAAATGGAGAATTAATCATCTTAAACGTTTAAAATCTCTTCCTTGAAAAAATAAATACTTCAAATTATATTAAACAAATTTTCTTTTATATGTACTCGTTTGTGTGATAAAAAGCATAAAAAGATATTGTAATGAATAGAGCTTAAAGAAATATTTAGCTTCAGTCGTAAAATAACTACAGCTACAACTATGAAGTATAATATATTCTTTTGGTAGACTTATTCGTGTATTTGTAGTAATTGCATCTAAATTAAAAAAAGATAATTGTTTAATGCAACATGGCACGGTAGTTTTGTTATATCAACATCAATTAGGACATAACATATGTTGTTTATGAGAGAAAATAAATTTGATTTTGATTTTTAAAATATCATCAGTTAAAATGTTATTTCTGTTTCTGAACGGTAAACAGTCAGTAAGTGAAGGATCTTTTACCGGCTGTCGGTACAAACCAGAACATTAGGTCGAGGATAACTGTTTACGGCGAAAAGAGGCTCTGTCGAGTATCCGACAAACAGTTACCTAAGGGCTAAATATTCCAGTTTACAATGACAGACAGTGTTTCATTATTTTTACTTACACATAATAAAATTTATGATATTTCAAAAAGAGATTACGAAAACTGATATTTTCATTTAGCACATTTTTCCTGAAGTAGCGTATGAATTTACAATTTCATTCATAACGGCACAAGTACATCATGCTAAGAAAGCAAATCATTCATAAAAGGTGTGTAGGAATAACGTTATTTAAAGTTTAACATCGGGTGTAAGACAGTTTTTTTTCCAGCACCGGTGTAAACACTTGATAATCATGTCTGATATGCAAGAATGATAAATCAGTACTTAAAAAGTGAAACAGTTATTAATCAGTACCTAATTTGTAAAGTAAAACAGTCATTTATCAATACCTGTTTCTATAGAGTGAATCAGCCACTGCTATCATGATGAGGTAAATACCCATCAGAAAATCTGCAACTGCAAGGTTAGTTACAAATATGCCATAACCTATTTTTAGCCTTTTACGATCGTACACGAGACGGTAGATAATTGACGATAGGTTTCCGAACAATGAAGCGAACCCAACAATCCAAAGGACTGCTTGAAGTACAGAGTTTCTCATCAGGTCTTCACATGAAGAAAACTCATTCTTCAGCGGTTTGCAGTATTCTTCAGGAAGATAACAAGGTCGGATACAGCAGAATTTAAATGCAGGTGTATGAAGCTCACGAAGTGATGTCACGCCGTTAAATATAAATTTTCCGAATGTTATCACTTTATTGCCTTCAAAGTTAATCTTATGAACAAGCGAATTGTTGAAGGCAAAATCTTCAATTTCCTCAATTCTGTTGTAAGAAATGTCGATACTGTCCAACTCCAAGCCCGAGAACGTAAGTGAACTTATCTTTTTCAGGTTTGTGCCGGAAATTTTTAAGCTTCTTACAGATTTCAAACCTTTAAAAGCAGTCGATGAAATCATTGTTAGTTCTTTATTTCTGTCCAGATTTAAATAGGTTAGATAGCGAAGCTTGCTAAATACCAAATCAGGTAATTGCTCTATTCTATTGTTGCTAAGATCTAACGATAACAAGTTTTTCAAGTCAAAGAAAGCCCTTTTATGAATATAATGAATGTCACATGATGAAAAATTAAGTCGAAACATGAAAGGAAAACTTAAATTTTGTTCAGGTATTTCTTTAATTCTTGGATTGTTACTTAGATCAAGACTTCTAGCCTGTACAGTCAATGACGAAATATCAGACATTATTATGTCGGCTGATTTACAATTGATAACATCACCCGTACAGTTACATTTCTCTGGACAAACAGAATCACAAAGTCGTTCATCATCACCATTTCTGCAATGAATGACATCATCACATACTTGTTCAAATGGTATACATTGCTTACTAGACGAACATCTGTACTTTCCAACACATGGTACGATTGTAGCCTCTGAAACGGAAATATCAAGAAAATATATCCTAACACATGAATTTTTAAAACAAATCGTCATCAAAGATACATTATCGCTGTTGACATGGTTATATCCTAGTTTTCTTGGTTTTCCTTAGTTGTTAAATTTATGATACTTTTTTCAGCATCCAACATGCAAGCATAGAGAAAATTGCTATTGTAAATATATTGTAAGTTTTCAAGTTTATTCGGCTGAAATTTCTATTGCCGAAGTCTAAAAGCATATTCAATCAGGGTAAAAAATAAATTTGATCAATAAAAAAAAACGATGTAATCATGTAAACGAACTTAAGTCAACAAACCGTCTCGACAAAATAAAATATGACATAGAATAGAATAAATTGTTGCATAAAATTATAAAGTCATAAATGTCCATTTGGTATTATATTTAAAATCAACGAGAGAGAAAAACACCTTTCAAAAACTAAACGGTTTCATATATTTACGAGTCAAGCTGACAATGCTGTTACCTTTACATATTTCTGGAAATCGTCTAAAACCAATCAAAAATAGAGAACTCCATTTACTGATATGTATATCCTTTACAAATTTGTATCTGTTATCTTTATAAATTGAAGAACTGAAATCTTTTATCACCCGATAAATATAAAACGATGGCTCTGAAATATTGGACAATACTAGGCTAGCGACAACTGATGATTCAATACTGTTTTCTAGTACAATTAGCGCGCTTTTGGTTTTTCTTCTTCTTTTTTTGGAAAACTTCAGTTGTTTAAGAAAGTCTCTTGCCATTGATTTAAACTTGCATCCTGTTTCCTCTATTCCCTGTTCTCGGGTAACACGTTCTACCTTTATTTCCAATAACCTGTACTCAATGTCAAACTTCATTTTTCTATGAAGAATCTTGAAATTAAACAATTTAACGATGTTATTCTCACTGTTTGTAAAAAATTGTTTAGCTAAATGTATTGCGGCATTCCTGCTCTCAGAGTCTTCATCTTCCACGAATAAGAATACTTCTCTATATGAGTCTCTACATGCTGAAATAAGAAATCAAATTAAAACACTAAATGTCCTGAATTTGTTTGGGTCATTAAGAAGCATTTTTTGTTATCTTGACTAAACAGTTATTTTCCCTCAGCTATTAACCCTGTAAATGTATTATCAATAATATTTATTTTTGAGGACAACATCATAACGAAAGCCCTAAGTAAGTTTCATCTAAACCTAAATTAAATAATTTGCTGAATTTGTTCGACACTGTGTACGACCATATTGAGTAAAGACGAATCAGATTCAACTCGTAGACAGCCTGTTTTCGTAGGAAATTCGTGTCAACAGAAACAAAAAAAAATAAAACCTTAAGAATGTCACATTTGATATCCATATAGCGTCACATTGGCGCAAAAACTACTGTAAGAGACATTTTTTACAGTGAACACACAAACTGATTTGTTCATTTTGAATAAACCATTTTAATTCCAGACAATAATGTTAAAATATCATTAATAAGTATTATTAAATTTGTTTTAAACATTACAATTATTCATTTATGTATAAGAAGTAATTAAACATTCTTCTACACTTACATGACTTGTTGCACTGTGATTTTAAACGCAAAAAAAATATGTAAGTGCAATTACCATAGTTTTTGCACTAGTTTTAATTTTTAGTATCGAAGTATCTGCATTGCATAGACATTTAAAAATATTTATCATTATAAACAAATTAATTGCAAGGTTTGTTTAAAATGTGTCATTGTGGATTATGAACCACATTTATTACATTAAACATATGAATGGAAGTTTAAAATTTGAATATTTCAAAATTAATTTTAAACAGTAACAGTGAAAACTTATTAACCATGTTTTTACTGTTGTCATTTTCTAATGGTACAGTTTATTTATGTATTTATTATAAAAAGGGGCATTTGGGGATCTATATATCATTATAAATATATGTCTCAATAATATCCAACCATCACAGGGACATAGACTTTCAGATTTTGGATAAAACCACTAGGACTCATGAACTTTTCTGAACATTTTGGTTGTGTGAAGTTAAGATTTTGGATGAACCTGCTAAGAATCCTAAACTTTTCTTGCCCAACATATCCTAGTGAGATCCTTCTATATTATCTCTCATGAACAAACTTCAATTTTAATATATCATTTTGTTTTCATTGCTTCTTCTTTTCAAAGTTTTGATATATTGAATTCAAATTGTCTTATTTCTTGGATCGAAAAACTTAAAGCCCTATACACTATATCGTTATCATGGTGTAATAGATTTGATTATATTTAAAAATTCAGATTAATTTCTGTGACATAATTTGGTTTGGGTCTATGTGCAATTTCTACAATAGTTGAAAATTAAGATTTTCTGGTAATTAAGTGTTTTACATGCACGACATATGGAATAGACTGAGTCATTCTTATTTTTTGATATGACCCCATTCTATATGTATGAATTTATGGGAGTTGTACATGCACCACATTAGACGTAACAAATACTAGCAATTATGGTTTTGACCAATATAATATTGAAACAGATTACATGCCTTTGTCTGCCATGTCTTTATAGATATTTAAATAGAAAAGATAAACCAATATTAGCAAAAATAGGCTATAAACAGTGAAATTGCAGTTACATTTTTGTAATACAGTTGTCCTTATATAATGCAATAAGAATGTTCTTTTAAGCAAGTTTTATCTTTATTTTCATAATAAATAATTGAGTAAACAATTGAAAAAAAATTCTTAGAGCTGTCATCGGTAGAAATGATATTGATGCATTGTTGATATTTTTTCTGTTGATCAGTACACATTTTTAGAAAATCAAGAATGTTGATTTAATAATTGAATGTCTAGAAATTATGAAAATTCAACAAAAACATATGCATAAGCATATTTCATAGCAGTGATGACAAAAAAATTGTTAGCAAAAATCATGTAATGGGCATTTGTTTGAAACAGGACACATTTATGAAAAGACCATGTTTTTACTGAAAGCAATTTTAAACATTTATGGAAAAGAATAAGATACAAGAATATAATTCTTAAAGTATGTATTTATCAATATATATGTGTATCATCAATAGTGTTATCTTAAATTTGCTTTCCAACAAAACAATGACAGTTCTAATATTACTTGAATCATTTAAAACAAATCAAAATTTGAATACTGAAAAATTCCTAGTTATATTGTTTGTTGTCAAATAAAAATAAATAGAGGATATTTGTTTAGTTCAGTGTAAGATCGGAATATATTTCACCGAATGAGCACCAAAAGGTATATTTCACGAGTTGCGCAGCCACGAGTGAAATATGAACTTTTGGTGTTCACAAGGTGAAATATATTTCTATCTTACACTAAACTAAACAACTTTTCTTTTTATTATATGCAAAGAAACGTTTTAAAAAGACATTTAACCTAATACTGAATGAAAAGCGCGCCAAATAATAATACAATGTGACGTCATTTACGACGTCACTTCATTAAGTTGGTACCCAGGACTGTGCACGCTGGTATTTCACTGAAACAACGTAAGAGGCTTAAATTCAAAACAGTGAAATTATCAAAGTAGTAATTTCCCTGTTTCAAACAGTGAAATTACCAGTTTTATATCATTGATATATTTATATAAACCACCGAAAAGCATGTAATAAAACATTTTCTTTAAATGTTAGTTTCCTATAGTAGATTTATATATATATAATTTGTATTTTAGAAATAATTTTGCTATTTAATAATGAAATAGTGAAATATTTTAATGTAGTCACCATACTTTCTGCATCAAATTATTTCAACTTATCTGTAAAAACATTGGCGCAAAAACTCATGTAAGTGTTCTTACTGTAGTTTTTGCACCAACAAATTCTGAAGCTGCACTTACGTTTTTTTATTTCTATGTCAAAAAAGTCATTTTTTATCAAAATATAGTTTCTAAACTTCGGAGACTGGTGGAACTTTGTATTTCTAACCAAATAAAGACAAAAAGTGAATTTTCTCAAACAATGTCAATTACATGACTTTTTGCTCCAATGTGACGACTATAAGGTAACACTAAAACTAATTTAAGATCACATACTCTATTAACTTTCAGAAGGATTTTGAAAAAATGACATGAATTCACGAAAACTTATTTGTGCTGCCCAATACGACCCTTACTACAAGCTTTTGATTTTTCTATTTCTTGTTTCAACAGACCCGGGTGTTTTAATGCGTAGTTATTCCATACACTCTGTCAACAATAAATAAGATACATGCACATGATGTGTGTAGTTGTGTGTAGCTAACCTCGTGATCTGTCTCGACTTATTTATCCACTTAGTGGTTGCCTTCTGCATATACATTTTTTACACGTAAATATAATTGAAACAAGAAAATCGATGTGCATTTGTTTCAATCATTTCATATTGTAGACTCAAAAATTACGGTTTTTTATTCTTTTGTTTTCTTCATAATATAATTAATCATTTATCAATAAGAGCTATATATTATCTGAGAAGCGTAGGCAAAATATTTTGCCAGCTAATTTATGCAGACAGACTATAAAGGATTTGAAGTTAAAGAAGATAATATTTTAGTCTTAATGTAGCCATGATAGAAGTACTTGCTTGGGTTGTCGAGTTATTGGTCGGAAACGTTTTGAAATAAAGTGAATTTGACCTTGACCTTTGACCCCTTGACCCTTAAATCAATATGGTTGATAAATTGCCCAAGACAAATAGAATGTGAATGTGACATAAGCCTTTTATCACTTGAATCAAAAATAATAAAGTTCTTCTGACTGTCAAGACCAATGCACCTTAGATGTTTTCGGGAAAATGTCCATTGGTTGTTGAGTTATTGTTCGGAAACTGTTTTGTTGAAAGAGGTTCATGTGATCCTGACTTTTAACCTAGTGGCCCCAAAATCAATAGGGATCATCTGCTTGCCAGTACCATACTATTTCTTTAACTTCCTACATCTATTTATAACAATACCATTAACATGACCATATCAAAAAATATATAAATAATGTAAATTAATAATTATGATTATTCTTCAAAAAATATTTCAAAATTGATATTTCTGTACCCACACAAACAAATCCTCCTAGCTCACCATAAATAGTCGGATCTAAAGTTTGTTGTCGGACTTATAGCATTTGCTGTAACGTGTATACGCTCAAATTCCGGAGCTTTATGGAGGCATCAAATGTTAGAGTCATAATTTAACATTGGTAATACCATAGCATCAAACAATTTGATCTAATCAGAGATATCCATAGGTACTTTATCGAACAGGGCATTTGATAAATATAGTGATTTGTCTGACTGCTTTGATTAGGCTTTCTGTATTTCTCTAGGCCTCCACAGTATACCTAATGGATCTGACTGAGAAGTACTAGTTAAATTTGGATTATTTCCCTTATTATTTATAGGTAAATGTAGTGTTATAAAGTACTTGTACAGAATTATGAAATATCATAAATTGTGTTTTAAATAAACTGGTGTTATTTAAGGATTCCAATTAATATATATTTTAAAAGTAGGTCATTTGTGTGTAATATTTAGGATTTTTGTATTCGTGGATAAAAGGCCATTAATGCCTCAAACATGCTTTTATCTTACAAAGGTGTTCGGTTATATTTTCGAAAAGGTTCTGATTTGCCAAATACGTGATCCATCTTTTTCTTCTGATGCAATGGGTACATAGACTTATAGTGATTTAGTACTTTGTATGTAAATCAAGATACTACTTTGTTTACATTTTGATTCTTTTACGAATAAAAATTTCATCACATACTTTAGGCAACATGTTCCCAAACAATTAAATAATCGTTAACAATCCACATTTGCTCTTCCATATAGGGATATATGTATTCGTTTCTGAGGCATAATGCACGTTTAATGTTGATAATTTCAATGTTCATGTCAATCCTTTCAAACAACAACTACTTTGATCTGAATATTTTCTTAATAAGAAATAAACTATTTTTTTAGTTTTACAAATACAACGTTCTTATGTTGAATATTAAAGGAATCAAAATCTGAATACGGAAATGAATTATGAAAGAAAATAATTCTAGTTGCGTTCATAAGGTCATGTACAAGGTTTTGATACTGCTTGAATGAATGACCTATTGAACAGGGAAGATTTAGGAATATCGAATTAAACAAGCGTTGATGTACCACATGCAATATCAGACAAGTTAAAATCGAGTGTCCTCATATATGTATATTTCTAATAATGGCATAAGTAAAATATGCTTACATATAAATTATTTGTATAGTTTACGACAAAAATATATAAGATATAGAGGATATTTGTTTAGTTCAGTGTAAGATCGAAATATATTTCACCGAGTGAGCACCAAAAAGTATATTTCACGAGTGGCGCAGCCACGAGTGAAATATGAACTTCTGGTGTTCACAAGGTGAAATATATTTCGATCTTACACTGAACTAAACAAATTTTCTTTTTATTATATGCAAAAAAACGTTTTAAAAAGACATTAAACCTAATACTGAATGAAAAGCGCGCCAAATAATAATACAACGTGACGTCATTAACGACGTCATGCCATTAAGTTGGTACCCAGTACTGTGCACGCTGGTATCCTACTGAAACTACGTAAGGGGCTTAAATTCAAAACAGTGAAATTATCAAAGTGGTAATTTTACTGTTTCAAACAGTGAAATTATCAGTTTTATATCACTGATATATTTCTATAAACCACCGAAAAGCATGTAATAAATATGCATATACATTCAATGTTCCAACGTGAATTCCATAGTTTATCTTGCAAAATTTGCACTGTCAACAATGCAATAACAATTGAATGTAGGTATTTCTGTTTAATTAAAATATGTTTTAGAAATATGTATAATATATAGATTTTAGCACACTTTCTGCAACGTATACTGTACCATAATATTACTTTGCGATTAAAATATATGTACATATGTGCCAAATAAATTGTTTGACTTGATTTATTTTTATATCCATATGTGTTGAATACATTGTACATAAACATTTTTTTTACTAACACTTATCCCTAAATATAGTGTTGGAATATAGCAACAACGTTAATGAAACATTTCTGAAATGTAAAAAATATATTTTGCTAGTTTAACTGAAATCTTTTTTACATCATTGTTTTTATTTTCAAAATACAAAGCCTATACGGTGCAGGAGAATAAAAAAATCCATGTAATGAAATAACACTTATGACGTAACAATTTTATATCATGTCATTAGCGTTGTATACAAAATATAGCGTAAGTAAGCGTAACATTATAGGTGCGTCCACAAAAAATGACACAGTGTAACTGTAAACCATTCTTTTTTGGCTACGTGATAAATAGAATATCAAATTTAATATCATGTATGCATTCATTTATCATATCAGATACTTTGTTTAAAAAATATGTTTCCTTTCTGAACTAACACTTATTCAAGATCCTCTATTTAGAGATACAAACATATACGAAAAGAATCTTAACGAAATGATTCATATCATTGACCAACAATTAATCAATGTTTTGTTTGTAGGTATGCCGATGACCTGTTATCTGTAGGTATGACAACTGGCTTAACTGTAGGTGGACAATGGGCTAATCTGTAGGTGTGACAAATGGATTAATAAGGTATATCAACTGGTTATCTGTAGATCTAACAATGGGTTTATATGCATGTATGCCGATGGGCTAATGTGAAGTTTTGTCAATGACATTGTATATATGAATGACAATGGGCTAATATGAAGGTTTGAAAACTGGCTATTCTGTATGTATAACGATGGATTATTCTGCATGTATGACAATGGGATAAGATAATCTGAATGTATGACAATGGGCTAATCTAAATGAACAACAATGGGCTAATCTGTAGATGTTTCTGTAATATTCAACAAAATAATCTTTAGGGTGAGTCCGGAAAGTCATTATAAGCGACATTTTAACTGATAAATTGTACAAATAATCAGTAAATAATTGCCCGTTAATTAACAAAATACAATTCACTACTGAAATACCGTTAAATGACTTAACTTAATAAAGCAAAAGCAAAACAAAAGAATGAGTTTAACAAATTATAGATTTTAATAACTTACTACAGTCGTGTTCATCTTCCCCTCCAGGACATTCATTATGTCCGTCACAAAGAAATCGTTGTTCAATACAATAACTTCCAGGACATTTGACTGTATTTGCTGGACAAGTGAAATTTTCTGAAAATCAAATTGTTTTCAATGACTCGGGCAATAATGAGCAATTCATCGTGAATTATTATCATTTTCTAAAGTAGTAAATGATTGAACAGTATTTGTGATGACATTCTGTTTTTCTTTATTTAAAACAACAAAGAACTTAAGAAAGACATGTTACATTTATGTTAATTGTTCAGTAGCACCTTATGTTTTACATTATTATTCAGGTTATTTTAAATGATTGATTCATTAATACACTTGCTTTGAATCAAAACAGAATCGTTGTTCAATTTTCTGAATTAGATTGCGGAAATATATATCTTAACTTAATGTACAATATCCGTTTACACGTGATGTTTTTTTTATTGTCACAAAAATGCAAACAGACATGTTCAAGAAAAAGCTGGATTTATTGAAACATATGGTTTCTATTATGAACATAGACTTTTCAGCTCTATACATGTTACATCAGGAATCTTATATATTATATTCAAAAAGCAAAATAAATGAATAGCAAGATGAAATAACATAGATTTATTTCTAGTAAGCATTGACATCTATAACGTTGAACTCATCAATATGTGTTTTTACAATAATGATTATTGTTGAAATTAGTGTGATTTATCTATACACTAACTGTGTAATTCGTTTTATGTCCTTTTTTCAGTTGGTATATTAAAAACAACATTTTAATGCAACACGCTTTCAGATGGTAGAATGTAAAGATTTTATACACTTTATTTTGATTAAACGCTTGATCCGGTAATGTTCAGTAAAAAGTGTATCGCTACTGCGTTTCTAACAAAGTTGCCGATATTATTGACGGAGCTGACTGCAAAAAAAATATAAATTTGCGTAGACCTCTCAGGTAAAAGCATAAGGGAAATTACTGTAATCATCGTGGGAGTTAACAGTTATTTTCATTACCTGACAAAGACATTGTCTAGCAGACAGATTATTGCAAACAAAAGAATGCCCGTTAACATGCAAGATTTTTCACAGTTTGCGTCATAAACGTATAAACAAGCAATACAAACAACACAAAAATAAACGGTTTTAAGAGATTAAAATCTTGAAAACAAAACACAACTACTCAGTAAACATTTTACTAAAATCGTATTAATTGAAATCATATAACACACTGATAAACAATGTTCTATAGAAGCGCGAAAATATGACTATTTAGAAATTATTTTTGTAGAAATAATTGCTCTAAACATGAATTCGCAAATCCAATGTCATCGAGAAGATCGCGAAAGATTGAAGCCCGCGAATATTTCTCCACATATCATATAGTATTGTAATTGCATCTATTGAAATTGTTAAAAAATAATTCTCCCCGTTTTTAATAGATAATTAAAATGATGTACACTGCTAGGGACCTTTTGATATTTTATAGAACTTTTATCTTGTGAATGAGGTTTAAAGATTTGACGTATCAAGAAACTCCCTTATAATTTGGAAGAGTTTTAAGTGAGCTGTATTTCAGTTTTAATTATGTTTAATATAAATTGACACACAATAAGTATATACTATGCTGATTTTCTTTAGAGATTTTAGATGTAATAATGATATAACAGACTCCTACAGTTCAAGTTAAGGAATTGCTTTTTTAAGGTAAAATATTTATTATGTTCATAAATGATAATGTAAACAGATCTAAGGCTTTTCTAAAATAACAAAAAAGTGGGTTAAGTATAGAAAAGATAATTCATTGGCACATAAATGACGAAAACAAGGGGTTCTGGAACGCGTTGAATCCGAGGTAGTTTATGTGAAGGCTGGTATAGCTCTGATCATTTTTCAAATTAATTTCAAACTGATATAAAATATATTTAATATGATGTAAGAAAATCATTTATGCTATATTTTATAAAATGTAAATAATTTTCAACGTTTGCATCACGTAATTTTCTTATATATATATTTATTCTTATCAACTGGATCTTGTTTTTAATTCAAGAGTCCAAAAAGTACGTATGAAATTAACATCATACCACATATACCCCATATATCCTCGTTTTCACTTTCAAAGTTGAAAACATCTTGTTTATCAAATGCAAATCATACTCTTCATCTAGCCTCGTTTTCGTTTTTAGAGTTAAAATCCTAAGGATTTAACTCAATACAGGATTGGAGCAGTACCTCTAGACGCTTGCAGAAACCATGATCACAAAATAGACAAATATCATTTTTTTCGTCGATGTTTACATTTTTATTCATTATCGTACTTAATTCGGTGTGAAAAGATGAATTAGACCTGTTAAAGTTCATTCCGTTGGGTAAAAAGGAAAGCTTTTAGCATTTTATCATTCAAGCGCCTTGTCCGGTAAATATCAGAATACGGTATTTAGTGTGGTGCTCCAATCCTTTTTTTAGTCTCACTCAAATCCTTATTGTAGTTTGAGAACCAAAATTTCCAAAAATGGTGGCATTCAATAAAAATTTCATTATATAGTTTTAAGATTAATACTGGTACTATTTGATTTGTTCTGCAAAGCCTTTTTTTCAGGCTCGGCTAGTCGCCGTCCAATATTGTTTCTACAGCTGTGTGCTCGTCCAATAGAACTCAAAAATGTATAACAACTTATACTATATCTTATTATTGCCGCAAATAACGACACAAAGCTTAAACTAAAGCAGTTTTTTTGTTTTCTTTTGTCTTGTTAAATACGACCCTTGGGGTGGATATCTTTATCCAACTAATACGTAGTACTATAAAAGCCCGGATGAAGGATTCCGTTGTATGCTTTTCAAATTATTTTTTTGTCAAAGCAAAAATATCAAAATATGCATGCTTTAAAGTGACATTTTGATTTCCTTCAATTCTCCTTTTTAATTTGAGCAACGGTTTTGAAATATGAATAGACTTCTATAAACTTTTGATGGCATGTTGCTTATAACTCTTTCTAGTAAAACAATCACCATACTGACTGACTGTAAATCACAAATGAAAATGTACTGGCTGTCAAACTATTCATTCGTTCACTTATTTTCCCTACTTTTTCTTATTGTGAAATTTTTATCTATTTCATTTAAGTTCGATATTCACAGGCGTGGTAAATAGCCACAAAAAGTGGCGTATTCCAAACCTCTGCACTATATACCTTTGAGAAGGACATAAATGACGAAAACCTGTTCCAATCAGTGCAGTTGGGAAATTTGCAGTAAAATTATAAAACGTTTTTTTATTCTATTTTCAAGTTAAAAAAGAAGCATTATTATAGACACAAAGTTTTTATGTTGAAACTTCTAAGCGGTTCATGAGGTCTCGCTTTGTGGTAAGTTGTTTTAATTATTACAACGGTACATAATAATAAAAGAAGTCTTTCTTTATCCATTTATACACACAAATTATTTTAATGAAGTAAAGCGAATTTACAAGCGTCCTTTTATTTTCGTTAAATTTCGTGACGGCTCTGATGCCTTTAATGCCTTATCAACAAAATGTAAATAGCGGCTGTAAAAGATTTGGAGACAGAACTACGTCCGCACAGAACTATCCCAATCATCTCAAAAGAAAAATGAAGAACTTTATAAAATAATTCTTCGAAACTTACTTGAAAATGATTATTGTTGTGTATACATGTTTTGTGGTATTTTTAGTGTTTGCTATTTTGCACTTGGGTGGTTACAGTATTCCTACTTGAATGCTGTATAATCACCTTTAGGATATGTTGCCTGCTTTCTAAACTTGTCCTTTGACGTCTTATCTGTGAAATGCGGGCTTCATAACCTCAGATCCCCTTTCAAAATTCCATTTGATTTAGTTCCGCCCATTGTTTTCTCGTTTAGGGAACACGCATATTTTACTTGGTATGCCTCCCCAATGTTAATACCATTCGTCAAATCTTACTGCCGCGGTAATCAGGTCAAAAAATAGTACCTTGATTTTTTTTAAGCTGACTCATCAGTCATCACAGACATTTACAATATGAAAATATTTTCATTCTTTAACTTCATATCTGCAATTTGTAAAGATAATAATTCTCTGAAAAATTCTTGAATTTTTTCAAAATCACTACTCCGTGACGTCATACTGCGGCGGTAATCAGGTTTAGTCATACGTACGTTGGTCATAAATAGTTCTGGTATGAAAACCCTTCTACATAATAACTTTATCAACGATTTTTTAACAAAAAGCATAAATGAAAATTTATATGAAAATGCTTTAATTAGGTGGCAAATATTCTTTATTATTTTTGATAACAATTTTCCAATTACTACGCAGCGACAAACTGTTTATGACGGGTCATTAACTAGAACGTTGCAACACCGTAGTCTCAATATCATGCATGTTCTTTTGTTGTTATAAACCATTAATAGTCCTTAATATTTTTTTTAAAGACAAATAATGGTAAACTGTCGCTTACATCAGAGACATGGATCATGCTTGCGGGAAAACTAAGGAAAACTAACTTATTAGTACACCCTAGGAGGCTGTACGCGGAAAACGCTCTTAAGCCGCTATATCATATAGCTGTTAGTAAATATTTTGCATACATTTAACTAAAAATTCACTGATGGTGATGAACATATAGTTTGAAAACAGTATATTTTTGAACCATGTATCGCCGAAAAAAACTTTTTAACTACACAACCCGTAAGGACCCTCCGACAAAATTTCAGCACAAGATTACATTTTACATTAGCAAAATAAAAAAAGCAATACTTATTTTTTCATCTTACATAATTCATTAATCAAACTTTTAACATAAAAGTATCTTTTAAAAATATGTCTGGCAATTGACAGATCTCTACTGTATAGGAATAAATTTAAACATGTGCTCCTTTGTTTAGGAATATTTTGTAGTGAAAGTCTTAATATATCCACTTATCTCATAATTAGAATTAGACAGGTCAGGGATTTATACAACCAGTTGTTTAGTTAACTACGCTCATTTTAATCCCAATAGAAACATTCAAATATTTGGGGTAAAAAACATGACCAAAGTACCTAGTAGTGGTTTACCCGGTGGTGATCCCATTAAACTGATTATAGATTCGAATTGATTAGAAAACACAAATAGAAACATGTGTTTCGGTACAACAAAAATTGGAAGTAAAGTGAACAGTTAAATGACGGAAGTAAAGTGAACAGTTAAATGACAGAAATATGTGGTCAAATATGTTTTAACAAGGAAATAATTATTTCAGAGAAAGACGCAAAGATCAGTCTTCAATCAAATGAATGACCCCGTATTGTGTAATTAGAAAGTTTATTCAATTCTAGGGCAACGCATCATAATTTGATAGTCCATGTGTAATAAAATTCAAATTTTCAATACAGATTATGAGATACATAAAAAATATTAAAGAATAAGAAGCTTTAAAAAAACAAACAAAAAAACCGCATATGACTTACAGTCGAGCATCGGGAATTCATCAACATATCTTACGAAATTTTAATTTGAACACGATTTTTGCGCACGCTGAAGTGATTAATGTTTATTTGAATAAATCAAAGAAAAAGAACTTATATGTTTGTGTTCTAAAAAATAATCGGCGGCATAAGAGGAATTTCGTATTCATTTTACAACACTTGAAAAATTACTACAGAAAATGTGTTGTTTTTTTGTTTTGTTTTCAACAAAACTGTGTGTGTTTTAAGTTTATTTATACTCGGCGCCGGAATAATTAATGTCCCAGATTATAGCATCGGGGACGTCTTTTTCAAGCAGAATCTTCCTGGTAGCCCATTCGTCGTTCGTTGGTGGTAAAGGAGACGACAATACTGTCAAGGCATCATCTTCCTGACTGACGACAACAAAAACTGCATTCATTAGCGCGTAAGTCACGACAGGTCAACCAATCACCTCTGGTACTTGAGATGACTTGACCTTGACCTGCCGTGTGCCTTCTCCGCGACGCGCACGCCTCTGGGCGGATAACAAAAACTTCCAAAACACGCTATTTATATAACACCATTCATAGCACTGACGCTTCGATGTTCTCATCTATTTGCGGGAAATGGTCGACAGGGAAAACCCTACGTAATAACCTCACACCTTGTTAACAACAGAGTTTCCGCAGTATATATTTCAAGCTAGTGAGGTTTAAAAATACATGTAGAATCTATCGATTAACTACAATAAGTTGGTTGAGAGTTGGCGGTAAAAAAAAGAAGATATAACTTCCTGATAAATTTTCACCTAGGTTGATTCAATTTTGAATAAGCTTTGCAGATATGTATTTTTCAAGAAATATTTAGCTTTAATATTATTCGAAGCCGTCAAATCAGCGACGGAGTAATGAAATGGGAATAATTTTTCTGAAACGTGATTTTATTTTCGAATTTGCTTCGGGAGAAAGCCGTTAAAAGCATGAATAAATAAATACTCATCACAAGACAGTGATCTTATGAATCTCAATTATGGTACCATGACATGATTAAAAATGTTATTAATTTTTATGTTCAATAAAAATGTTGCATTTTAACTTGCAGTTTTATTATCCATTCAATTAGATATTAAAATGACATAAAGTATTTTATGAATGAACAGTCCTAGAATATTTTGATTAAAGAACCGGTCAGTTGTAAAATGGCATTGTGATCCTTATAATGAACAGTCGTCATACTTGCTGGTATGTCATTTTATAAATGGCAGTTTAGGGTTTTTTAAATTTGCATGATTAACAGTCCGAATGTAGACCTCAATGAAATGTTCTGGAATATTAACAAAATGAATAGTCGAACCATATTAACCATATATATGAATGGTTGAACACAACAGTAAGGATAAATGGCGCAATGTGCATATCTTCTTATTTTGGTTATAATTGAAATAACAGCACATTTTAAGCAAAAGTCTGAAACATTCTGTCATAGCCTCCCCATCAGTACATTCAGTGCTTTGATTTATGGAATGGCACTACTGTGTTCCATGATAACTGCGGCATAATAACATCTGCGGATGTTTCTTAATATTCAAAATATCACCGTTTTGTTTTAAAATGTTGAATTCTGTTAAAGCCGGTGCTAGTTGGCGTGCACGGTAAATTGCACTTTCCAAACAAAACATTGTCTTTTCATATCATTACACAAATGTAAATAAAAATGTTGTACAAAAGAGCAAGATATTTAATATAGAAGAATTAAGATGATGTATGCCCTTTAGTTGAGAAAAATATCCCGCATGAAAGGAATGTTATCAAACTGATTATACAACTTATTGAGTTTGTTTGTTTGTTTGTTTCATATTTCGCCTTTCCCAACAGAATTTCAGTCATATAGACGGGTAGTTTCCTGACCATCGTTCCTGGAGAGTTACACCAGTACTAGACTACCTTCCTCCGCGCTAAACCACCCAAGCATCTCCCGGGGATCGAACTTATCAAGTAGTAGGATGTAATTGACAAAGCTTTTGAAAACCATTGATACTTTACATGTCAAGTCACACAAAATAAGTTGCTGTAAACATATATACTTTAGATGTCAAGTCAGACAAAATAAGGTTATAATTAGATAATTATATTAATTACCACAATGTTGTAAATGATCTCCAGATCTGCATCCAGTCATGAAACCGCTAGCATCTACGGCATAGATACACATCATCGACTTTGGTATGGCTTTGTCGTCTCTTTTACAATGAAAGAACTCACCAAATTCGGTCGCATTGTACTCTTAAAAAATAAAATACCAGACTTTACTACGTATTTATCAACTTAATTTAAAGAAATTTAATCTAGAAACAATTGTGACAGTGGTTGTTTACAGAATTGTATACGCACATTATGGAAAACTTCAAAAGTTTGTATGTTAATTAACACTGAATGAAAAGTGATATGATCTAATTTTTATCGGTAATTTTTGACAGAACTTATTTTGAAGGTTTGTAAAAATGTTTATATTTCAATTTTATACTGAATAGAAATTTATTAAGCTGTAATATGTCAGATATTTATTGTAATTTTGTAAATCACGCTGCTATTATGAGGTTCTATACCATAAACACAAATAGGTGTATAAATAAATCTATTCAAATGTCCCCCTTCAAGGTACGACTTCCTGCTAAATGTCGTCTTACTTCCATTGCAATGTTTCGCCTCCCAAGCCGGATTGCTGGAAATGTAGAATGTGACATTATTTTTTGTGGACAAAGAATTGCTTAAATTCAGTCTTTACATTTCATATAAAAGTTTAGAATTGGTATTCAATGTATCAGTGTTTGAGAAACAACATTTTTCTTCATTCAATATTCATTGTACGGTATTTGAATTACCTTGTTTATTCACATTGCGGTCATTGAATTATGAATTTTGACTTCTTTTCAATTGTTATGCTTATTTACTTTATCATCGTTTTTTTTCGTGCATTTTGACGTCATATAATAAAATACTACATTTCACTAGAGTAATATATTAAAATAAGAACATAAAATGAATCATCAAACTCAATGTTAGTTCAAAAATAGCAGAATTTCTATTGTACTTATAAATATGATATACAATAAAGATAGATTTTGATTACTTTGGTATTATGAAAATACTAAGAACTCTTTAAATAAACGTCTTTTGTAAACACAAAGAGACGTCACTGTAGGTTAACATTAAATGCATACTGTCATTTAAAATTGCAATGTTTTGTTTTTGTTTTGTTTTGTTTTTGTTAATAAGGGTGCGTTTCATAAAGAATCGTAAGTCTAAAGTTGGGACTGGAATAAGAATGCACTTAGGAGCATTTCAAGAAACTCTCCTATTTTTTGTACTTAGGATTAGTCCTAACGTTTTACTTAAGACAAAATCTTCAGAAATGGAAATAAAAAAAGCTGCTGAGCCTTATCCTCGTCATGCGAAATAAAGAAAACTGACAGATGATAAAGCAGACACTTTTAAAAATATAAAAAATGTTGTATACTTGACATTTATACATTAATATTGCTTATGTGTTACATTTTTCATTCCATTTATTTTATAATTCAAAGGGTACTTATAATCTTTGACTTTCTTTCAAAATTATTCCATAATTGCATAAGGCGGATATGTTTCTTGAAAAAAATATTCCATATTTTACTCAAACAAAAAAGTATCCTCTTAATATTTAGGACAAATTACTAATTATGAGTGCATTATTGTAGTATAATGTACCTTGCAGGAATATAATAACAAATACCAATACTGTAGGCATGAGTTAATTATTACAAAGCATTTAACGATTAACCATACACAACTTTACTGTAACGTAAGAAACGATAAAATCTATTTCAATAAAAAAGATAGTCACTAAAAATATGTTGAACATTATTAAGCATAGCCGTAATTTAAATTACGTCATTTGGTTTATAAATATGACGTCATATCATATTTTTATATTATGTGTTATCCTCCCTTTATTATGTCATGCATTTATTTCATATAATAATACATTTGAGCATTAACTGCCTTACCTGTTTAGTGAAGCGTGTTAACATTTGATGTAAATTTACAAATATTCTGAATATTAAACGTAAATACGTCTGGCATAGCCATATCAGTAACAGGGTCAGTCATATATTATATAAAAAGAATGGATTTTTTTTCATCACTCATAAGCAAAAATAAACGTGTTTATTTTCAAAAAGTTTAAGTTATCTTAAAAGTATCTATTGAAGTTGTTATTGTTGTTGTTACATTTAAAAATCAATATAATAATGTACTGAATACTTGCTGGTGTTTATATTAGGTTTATCTTTACTTATGCCCTCCAATTTTACGTATATATCTATATCAGACAAACACACAAGATCTGCAAAGTTTTTCAGCACTAAATTCTTGTATTTTTGTATTTATAACTTAAGACAAAAGTTAGGAGTGCCGCCCTTAAGCACCTAGAGGAATAGTGCTAAGTTTAGTCTTAAAATTGTAATTGGGACTTTTCTTGAAACGCAGTTTTATCACAGTTTTGCACTTACGATTAAAATCGGTCCTAAAATTCTTTATGAAAAGCACCCCAGATCAACTTAAAGAGAAATACAGAATGCTGAGCCCAAAAAGTAGTGTAGGCTTTTGCTAATTTTCTTAATCAAATAAGACTTATTAATTTAAAATATGAAGTTTCTAGATTTCAATAAATATATACATTTAATAGTTAAAACATGAGCTTTGTGTATCTGTAACTTTGTAAACATTGTATTTTCAATATCAAAGAGGTACATTTGTCAAACTTAGAAAATAAAAAAGTAATATTTTTTACCAGAAATGTAAATTCCATCAACTAAAGAATAAGAACATATTTATTATATGTGCATAGATTCCAATTTAACTTCCATACCCATGTCACATTGATCTTATATTTATATATCAATTTTTTTGGTAAAAACATTTGAACACATACTTGTATGTATATACTTCTTCTCTGCAGTAACAAAACGGATACCAAAATTCATTATTAAAATTGTCAACAACAGCCGCCTCTAGAAATCTTAGTTCACAGTTATATTTCACCTGAAACAAGAATAAAACTTTTAAACAATCGTATTTAATTCATATGTATATTATTTAATTTTTTTTTCACCAATTCAGATGCGACAGGAATAATGTTTCATAACAATAAGTAGGCAATATATATACCTACTTTTTATCACATTTTAGAATTAGTTGTCGGAGAAAAATATAAATTATCAAACATGCATCTTATTAAATGAACAATTGCCTATATGTTATTTTACAAAACAATGTATTTCCATTATCTAAAGAAGTATAAGAGACCGTTTTTATTCTACCTTATTAAAGATACCACACACAACATATATTGTACTGCTGATACAGCTTCATTATTGAAACATAACTCATAAAGAATCGACAAGTAAAATAAAAAATTTTGCTTTAAGAAGGGATACAAAATTAAATGGTGATTTTAATTATATATTATTGTGGCGTATTGTCTAATATTATTTTTCTATAAACTTGACATTTGATATAAGTGAAAGCAAAAAAGACTGTACAAAAGTTGCAATGTTCTTAGTACATAGAAGAGGGTCAGACCTGTACAATAATCAAATAACAAATGTTTTCAGGCATACATTGAACTGAGTTCTTCTATAAATACAGATAATACCTGATGCTTAAGTTGACAAAAACAATTTATTAATAGATAAACATATATTTATTTATTATATAACTGGTATGCAATTATAGAAATGATATGTAAATTATCCAAACATCTTATTTTAAAACAATCGTTTTGTTGAAAACCAATTTCTTTGGATGACACAATGATTTATAGTTCATGCCAACCTAAACTTACCTTAAACAAATTCGGCAAGACTTTTCTTGTTTTTTTTTACATTTATCTCAAGTTTACCAAAAAGAATATTATACTTTACCTGATTACTATAAAGAACTTATAAAAATGGATTTTTTTTAAACAATATTAATAAGAAGCAGCCAAAACACGTCTTTGATATTCGTAAAGAAATAATTTGGGGACATGAACACATTTTATATTATAAGAAATCTTTATATTTTCATAATTGGATAAACACTGACATAATTTTTGTAAATGATATTATCGATGCAAATGGGGAGATCAGTGAACATCTTATTCTTTCAAAACTAAGAAATAAATCAAAATTCCAAAATTTATACGCTACGAAAAGCTATACCGCAACTCTGGAAATTCATCTTAAATTTGACGAATCAATCAAAACTAGAGTCAAAACTGACTTTTCTCCTTTACTCATAAAAGAATCGAACAAAAAAGTTATAAAATACTAAGAAACAATAAAGCAGAAATAACATACATTTATCGCCTATGGGAAATTTTATTTGAACATGACATTCCGTGGAATAAAGTATACCTGATTATAAAATCAAGCATTGACAATAGATATAAACAGTTCCGTTGTAAACTCATTCATAATATAATACCGACAGGGGATAACTTATACAAATGGAAATTGAAAATAATCCGAAATGCGTTTGATGCAATTGTACTGATAGCACAGAACATCTTTATTCATTGCCAATCACTAAATGCTTTCTGGAAAAGAATTTTTGAAACTTTTAAGTCGCTAGGAATTTGTAAACATATTATTAATCTCAAAATATTGTACTAGGTTACAGTTTCGAAAATACGCAGCAAGGAAATTAAGTTGATCTTTACAATTATTGGCTTTAGTATATACAAAGCTTATATGATGAATAACCAACGTTCCGATACTATAAACACTCATGGAAACTTTTAACACGAATCTAACAATATAAAACTATACATGGTCCATAAGAAATATAATTAACATTTTATTAAACGCTTTACAACAAAGTTTAAATATTTTCAGAGAATAATAAATTAAATCAGTGCAGTAAGTTGATGTAATAGGATACTTTGTGAGTAAAATTATGTTATAATAGTTTATTATAGCTATGTATACCTTTTTTCTAAATTGTAATTCTTATATAATATCATATTGGATATGTTAAAAGTACTAACTGTACAAATATTATGTGCAAATGTTCTTAAAATCTTTAAATAAAAGATAAATACTTACTACTTGAATACATGAATAGCCCGGATAGTATGCTGGTATTAACATGTATATCGTATTTCGATTCTCGTAAAATAAAACAGTTATTCTTCCAGATTCATTTCCTATTGATTGTAAATCCAAGCTGAAATCTGACAGAAAATTTATATCTTGAATATAATATTCTACTTGAGTACATTATTCGCAATAAGTAAATTTGACGGATATATTTTACTAAATTCCAATCTTTAACCGATCCATGTGTAGTGTGTTGCTGTCAGTTTTGTAAGCACACCTTCTATGTATAAAGCATGCTGTGCATATTTCAATATAAATGACCTTATAAACGTAAAATGTTTAACGCAATCAGTTGTTAAATTTCATTTAGATAATATATTGCTTACTTTAACCCATGATGTTTTTCTTTTCTTTTAAGTCATATTCGCCACAACTTGATATACTTATCTTCTCCAGAGGCTAGGAAAATATTTACCAAACAAACAAAGGGATAAGGCTGTTGATGATTACTACGTTTCAAAGAATAATGAAGTTTTATGAATCATTTTTTCTATTCTATTTCAAAATTGGACGTGGTTGCCCTGCTGATCATGGGTAATTTTCAAG